TTAACCTCCTCACATGACCCCTACAGGTGTGCAGAACAGCTCCCCCAGATCTGTGAGTAATAAACTTCTCCACTTCACTTTCCCTTACAGCCTTGTCATGGCTCACCATCCGACATCTAGGGCTCTACTTAACAAATGTTAATACAACAAAGTCACAATAGCAACACTAGACAATTCTATCAAACCTACAAATTGACAGAAATTCTACACAATTTCTTTCAGAAAATAGAAGGGGAAGCAATACTTTTCCCAGCTAAATTTATGAGGCCGATATTAGCATAATACCAAAACTACACAAAACATTAAGGGGGGGGGGGGAAGAGATAACTACCAACTAAATCCCAAATGAAGATGCAAAACTTCTTAGCCAAATATTAGCAGTAGAAATCAACAGTACACAGAAAGAATTGTACACCATGACCAAATGGGTTTATTTGAGGACAGAAGGCAGTTTCAAGTTCTAGCCAGTGAAGCAAGGGAAGAGTAAATAAAAGAGATAGAGAGAAAAGGAAGATAAAAGAATGGATCCATTTGCAGAAGACATCATGGTTGTGGTAGGCTGAATAATGCCCCCACCCCAAAGGATGTTCATGTCCTCATGCTTGTAACATGGGAGTGTTACTGTAAATGTCATAAGGGAGTTTGCAGATGTGCTCTGGTGAAGATCGTGAGGTGGGAGATTATCCTGGATGATCTGGTAAACTCGATATGGTCCTGAGGGTCCTTATAAGAAGGATGCAGGAAGAGTCAGTCATGTAGAAGCTGGTGAAGTGATGGAAGCCAAAGGGCAGAGCTAAACAAGTTTTAAGATGCTATCTTGCTGGCTTAAGATAGAGGAAGGGGACCATGAGGGAGAGGATGTAAGCAGCCTCTGGATATGGGGAGGTAAGGAAACAAATTCTAACCTGCAATATCCAGAAGGAGCACAGTGCTATGGATCCATGTTACACATCTGGCCTCCAGAACTGTAAGAGAATAAACTTGTTAGTTTAAGTCATTCAGGTTGTGGTAATTTGTCACAGCATCAATAGGAACATTTTTGAAGTTGCGTATGTAGAAAATCCAAAGGAATGCACAAAAATTTCCAGAAAAAGTAAAATTTGCAAGGTGTTAGAATACAAAAGCATGCAAAAATCTATTGCATTTCTATATACTAGCAATTTACACCTGGCAACTGAAATTAAAAATGGAGTAGTACCATGTATAATTGCTCAAAAAAGAGAAAGTACAAGAAATATGAGCCCAGGGCGCCTGGGTGGCTCAGTTGGTTAAGTGACTGCCTTTGGCTCAGGTCACGATCCTGGCGTCCCTGGATCGAGTCCCGCATCGGGCTTCCTTCTCAGCAAGGAGCCTGCTTCTCCCTCTAACCGTCCCCCCTCTCATGTACTCTCTCTTTCTCGCTCTCTCAAATAAATAAATCTTAAAAAAAAAAAAAAAAAAGAAATATGAGCCCATGTTCCAGTGCAGGGTCCTCTGGATCTGAGACAGATATCAGTCACTGGGAAATGTCAGAGTGACTCTAGGCATTTGGTAATACAGATTATCTCCTTTTCAGAAACTACAGTTGGAATCTCGATGACTTTCTATCTTATTCATCATTATATTTTCAGGTACTTCACTGTGTGCTTGTTAACCTCCACACACTTGATTTTCAAGCACCTGACTAAAGCCAACTATCACAGTAAGAGATTTCAGTTAACCATCTGGCCATTCAAGTTACTTCACATAAGACCTGAAAGAACTCTTCATATTTTGTACCTACTACTTTCTACCTGTCACTGCCTTATGTTCATTTTCATGTCACAAAAGTCTCAAAACAACCCACTGATTTATGTATCCCTTGGTGTAAAACAGGGGGGAAAAATGCAAACTAAACATATAATCTGGGTTACAATGTGTGGAAGGAAAAATTGTATTAAAAATTGGGGGTGGGGGGCACCTGGATGGCTCAGTTGGTTAAGCGTCTGCCTTTAGCTCAGGTCGTGATCCCAGGGTCCTGGGATCGAGCCCTGCGTTGGGCTCCTTGCTCAGAGGGGAACCTGCTTCTCCCTCTCCCTCTACCTGCTGCTCCCCCTGCTTGTGCTGTCAAATAAATAAAAAATCTGACTACAGTTGAAAATGGATCAGGTAACATATTGCTTAAGACCCTAATTTGAAATTGACCTTTTAAAATCATTGGTAGAATTGCTTCTAGTAATATTATCTAATAAACATTTCCAAACAACTTGCATTAAACTAGTGTAAGAATATCTTAAGGCAATTTATCTAAATAGTATTTTATAAGCATTTTCAACAACCACATCATACAATGGAACCTATGTGTAGAGGGGGAAAGGGAATGTAATAAATTATTAGCATGAAGAAAATTTTGTCTTTCCCAACGGAGAAATCAGGAGTTTCAAGAGTAAATATCCAGTGTTTTACTAAAGAGTATCCATTTCTTGATGGTTGACTACTGACATCTTTTAAGGCTCACTACTGCCTCTATTCTGCCCATCTGGGCAAGCTGATAAAAAAGTCCCTCCTTTAATACCAGCTGGAAGTTCAAACCACAGCAGGTACCCTCCCCCCAGCGCCACCCAGTAACCACCTTAACACACCAAACTGGTCACCATTCCCTGTTCCCTCAAGTCATTTTTGGACCAGCTTGGAAGTCTACTGTGCCCGCCCCAGAAATCTTCATTAGGTAACACATGTTCTCATAATGCTGTCAGCTCATGGCATCACCAATCTCGATATCCAAAGCCAACTTTGGTTAGGGTTCCACTGTTCCAGTGGATGGCCAAAGTGCAAATTAACAAATGTGTTGGAAGGTATATATATGAAATTTTTAGTTTATCTATTAAACAAAGGTTCCCATTATATTCTGTTCATCCTAAATTATTTCATGAGTGCTCCAAGTTCATATTTTTAATTTCTGAAATTATTTTATTTCTAAATTTTTCATGCTATGTTCCTACTTTCACTTTATTTAAATCAAGGTGCATACCATGGGTTTTATTTGGGCACAAAACACATGAAGAAATATAATCATATGGTGCAAATTCATGGATTGGGGGCAGATTTTAGGGGATCAGAGTCTTGAACTTGCACTGTCATGGCATTTTCATTATTGCCACATAAATACCCTGGGGTAGAGTGTATGTAGAGAATAACTTAAGTGCAAAGTGTAAGTATATAATCCCCAAATTGTTCTTTGATTCCATCATGGAGAGAAATTGTTATAGATTCCCTCAACTTTGAGAGCTTAATGGTGCATTGTTAGTGTGTGTTATGAAGTACTCTACAGAGGTGGTTAGATAAACTGTGTTGGAAAAAGAACATGACTCCTTCAGGGTTACGGGGAAAAAGCTTTATTAATTATAGCATGAGAGCTACAATACATTTTGAAGAAAACAGTAGCAAAATGTAATGGCAGGAGTTAACTATGAATCACGCACATACTGTTCTGGTTCTTTCCATTCCACTGCCTTCTCAGATAACTGCTCTCTTCAATTTCCAAGAAAAGGGAAATCTGCCAATAATATATCAATTTGTCACTGACAGTATAGAACAGCTATTACCATCTTCCCCTGTGTTGTTTCTATCACATAATCAGTCCCTAGTAAACAAACTATCACTGTCATCCCATGAAAGGCCAGTCCCTATAATTCATCTAGAGAAGGGGGCCCTGAAGGTAACAAGCATGATGACTTATGTGGAGGTTTGCATTATTCTCTGGCCCTCCCCAATGCTCACACGATAGTGAATCTGACAACTGTGTCCTTGTTCCAGGAAATGTGGATATGAGTCACACCCAATGAAGCAGACCCTTTCATCTTGATTCCTCCTCAGAGACCATCAGGAAAGGCCTATAAGGAAGGCTTAAGATCAATAGATTTCAAACTTCAGGTTGAAACTCGTAAGTAGTAATGTAGCCTTTTCAAGAAAACTCAAGTAAATACCTTGTACACAGAAAATAATGAGCTACTTCCACACATGGCCTTCTTCCCATGATATGAGAATTTTAACATTTTTTGACATAATTATTCTCCACTAACATCTCAGGTTAATCTCAAGAGAACTAAAGACTTAATTATTCCAGTTATATCCAGTTATTCCTGGATTCTCTAATGTGTGGTCTGTGAATTGGTCAAAAAATTTATCATATTTGTAAGAATTCTCCCCAGTATGACTTCATTGGTGAATCCCAAGAACACACTGTTCCTTAAAAGCATTTCCACATTTGGCGTATTTAAATAGGTATAGTTTCCCCTGCATAAATTCTCTCATTACTCCAAAGGTATGAACATTTGATGAAAGCCTTACGACATTCTTTACATTTGTAAGGTGGCTCTCCAATATAAATTCTCTGATGTTCCACGGTTTTGACGTTGGGGCAAAAGCCATAGCATACACGTTACTTTTGTGTGGTTTCTCTGAAAGATATATATCTTGATGTCACTGTGAGGCCCAGATAACAGCTCTGCCACATTTACATGGTTTCTTTTCAACATGGACTCTGTTGTTAAAAAATACTTGGAACTCAAGGTAAGGGCTTTGCCACACTTGTTGCATTTATAAGGTATTGCTCTAGTACGTTCCCCAATTTTGATCTTTGGGTAAAATCCTTGCCACACACATTACTTTGTGTGGTTTCTCTACTGGATATTTAATCATATCTAGTGAACAGTACTAATTTAAAACTCTGCCACATTTGTTACACTTGTAAATGTGAGCTATTTGGTGAACTCTGAGTTTAAGGCAATACCTAAAAGCCTTGCCATGTTCAGTACATTTGTAAGGTTCTCTCCAGTGTGGATTATCTGATGACTGGTGAGGTGTGACTCTCGAGTAAAGACTTTGCCACACTCGTGGCATTTGTAAGGTTTCTCTCCAGAATGAATTCTTTGGTGAATCCTGAGGTCAGACCACTGCCGAAAGGTCTTGCCACATTCAATACATGCATATGGCTTCTCTCCAGTATGATTTCTCCCATGATGCCTAAGGTGTGAACGCTTGGCAAAGGCCTTGCCGCATTCATTACATCGGTAAGGTTTCTCTCCAGTATGGATTACCTGATGGTAAATTAGGCTTGACCGCACACAAAGGCTCTACCACATTCACTACATTTGTACGGTTTCTCCCCAGTATGGATTCTCCGATGACTTGCTAGGTGTGAATTTTGATTGAAGACCTTCCCACATATATCACATTTATATGGTTTCTCTCCTGTACAGATTATCTGACGTTTGGTGAGGTGTGAGCCCTGAGTAAAGGCTTTGCCACACTCGTGGCATTTGAAAGGTTTCTCTCCAGCATGAATTCTTTGGTGAATCCTGATGTCAGACCATTGTCTGAAGGCCTTGCCACATTCAATACATTTGTAAGGTTTCTCTCCAGTATGGATTATCTGATGGCTTATTAGGCTTGGACGCACAATAAAAGCTTTGCCGCACACATTACATGTGTATGGTTTCTCTCCAGTATGACTTTTCTGATGGTCAACAGGCTTGAACTTTCGATAAAAGCTTTACCACACACGTTACATTTGTGTGGTTTCTCTCCACTATGTACTCTGTGATGTTTTACAAGCTTCGAACTTTGGCAAAAAGCCTTGCCACATTCATTACATTGGTAAGGTTTCTCTCCAGGATGTATTCTCCGGCGATTTGCAAGGTGTGAATTTTGACTAAAGGCTTTGCCACATTCGTTACATTTGTAAGGTTTTTCTCCGGTATGGATTCTCTGATGACTTGCAAGGTTTGAATTTTGACTAAAGACTTTCTCACATACATTACATTTATATGGTTTCTCTCCTGTATGCATTATCTGATGTCTAGTGAGGTGTGAGCCCTGATTAAAGGTTTTGCCACAATCATGACATTTGTAAGGTTTTTCCCTATGTGCTTTCTGCTCTTGCATCAGTGTCAAAGGGTGAATAAAGTCACCCCCACATTTACTAGCAATGTTGGTTTGGACCGTAGGAGGAATTCTCTGAAGTGGTGAAACTGAGGAACCACTGTTGATGGACTTCTCAACTTGATTACATGCATAAGTTTTCCCTTCAGTTTGAAACATGTGTAGTTTATCCCCAAAACTTAATCCAAGCCTATTTCCTGCATCACTTTTACCATGCTGATCTCTTCTATCAGTGAGACTGTGTTTATGGGTTACAGACATTTCTTTGTAATTTATTTCATTATCTCTCCACTGCCACTCAAAGTCATGCATTTTTTTCCTGGATTTCCCTGAAGTAAAAATCTTTGATTTCAAGGCCTTCATGCCTTTCCAACATCACTGTTTGGAATACTTCTCCTGTATTACTGTTCTCCTTTGGTTATAATTTATCTATAAGATATAAAGAGCCATAGGTATCCTATTAATTACAGTTCACAAATAAACATTGTGTGTTGAAAACACAGTATTACAACAAAAGTAATACTTATACCGAACACAGTTACAAAACTTCCCATGATGTTAAAAATTTTAGGAACACTAAAGGAATAGGATTTTTTTTTTTTTTACTAAAGAAAGAGTACTCATCTGTAAGACAAATTAATTTTAGGATAGCCTAGTTTCAAACACTCAATGACAAAAACACTCGTGCTGTACAAAATTATGTTAGCTCTCAAAGAAAGGGTATTTTTCTTTCTTTTTTAACCCCGGTACAGTTAACATACAGTGTTATATTAGTTTCAGGTGTACAACAGAGTGATTCAACAATTCCTACAACAAATGCACTCCTTAATCCTTATCACCTATTTAACCCATCCCCCACCCAACTCCTCTCTGGTAAAACATCAGTTTGTTCTCTATAGTTAAGAGTCTGTTTCTTTGGTTGTCTCTTTCCCTCTTTTTTCCCCCTTTGCTTGTTTGCCTTGTTTCTTGAATTCCATATATGAATGAAATCATATGGTATTTGTCTTTCTCTGACAGACTTATTTCACTTAGCATTATACTCTCCAGCTCCGTCCATGTTGTCGCAAATGGCAAGATTCGTTTTTTATGGCTGACTAGTATTCCGCTGTAAATATATGCCATATCTTCTTTATCCATTCGTCTACCGATGGACATGTGAGCCACTGCCATCATTTGGCTATTGTAAATAATGCTGCTATCAACATAGGGGCGTATGTATCCCTTTGAATTAGTGTGTTTGTAATTTGGGGGTAAATATCCAGTAGTGCAATGGCTAGATCTTAGTAGTTCTATTTTTAACTTTTTTTTTTTTTTAAAGATTTTATTTATTTATTCGACAGAGAGAGACATAGCGAGAGCAGGAACACAAGCAGGGGGAGCGGGAGAGGGAGAAGCAGGCTTCCCGCAGAGCAGGGAGCCCGATGTGGGGCTTGATCCCAGGACCCTGGGATCATGACCTGAGCCGAAGGCAGACGCTTAACGACTGAGCCACCCAGGCGCCCTATTTTTAACTTTTTAAGGAACCTCCATACCACAGTGGCTGCACCAGATTGCATTCCCAACAACAGTGCAAGAGTTCCTTTTTCTCCACATCCTCACCAACACTTGTTGTAAGATAGGGTATTTTCCCACCATGATCCCAAAGCACATACCAACTGGCAGTAAATATATGTCTCATAACTGAGAAAAAAATATTGTAATTTTCCGTATACTTGTCTATAAATAAATGCTGAAGAACAGATAATCTATTACAATGGTAAGTAATCCAAAACAAGTTTATCTGATGAATAATGTAAATAAATGGCAATCTAGAACTGCAAAACAAATATAGCATTGAGAAAATGAAGAATTTTTTTTTTTTAAGATTTTATTTATTTCAGAGAAAAACAGAGGTAGAGTGAAAGGGAGGAGACTCCCCACTAAGCAGAGAGCCTGATGACTGGCTCAATCCCAGGACCCTGAGATCATGACCTGACCTGAAGACAGATACTTAACCGACTGAGCTACCCAGGCACCCCGGAAAATGAAAAATTTAATAAAACAATGTTTACAAAATGGAATTGTATAAATACGTGTTATAAAATTATCTGTACCCATGAAATATAGGCATTTTACAACATTAACAAGTGGTGCATGTCAGTTATATTGCATAAAATATCTGTAAATCACAATAAAAATTAATAAATAAAATATTCTAGTAACCCTTGATAAAACCAGCAATAAATAATAAGTAACCATGTTATAGAAAATTATACTCTGTGGAGCTCTAAACAAGAATAAAAGAAAGCAGGGCACCTGGGTGGCTCAGTTGGTTAAGCGTCCAACTCTTGGTTTTGGCTCAGGTCATGATCTCAGGTCGTGAAATCGAGTCCTGTGCCAGGCTCCACGCTCAGTGCGGAGTCTGCTTGTGACTCTCTCCCTCTCCTTCTGCCCCTCCCCCCACTCACATGTTCTCGCTCTCTAAAATAATAAAATAAAATAAAAATAAAAGAAAGATTTCTATTCTAGAAAGAGCACACAATATGAAAACTGGAAAATATGTTGGGGTCACTGACTTCTAAAATATTAGGTCAGAAAAATACATTATAAAAGAACTGGAGAAAGACGTCAGAAGTCACAATTACGATTTCCTGCCTACAGTTATGTAACAACCAAGCAACAGAGCAACTCCCTATCTATGCAGTGCACTCTAGTTATCCAGTTCATTGGCTCCAAATACATGTAGCTCAGAGTGTATTCTTTGAAAATTTATTAACTAAGATCAGAGACAAAATTATTGAGAACTGCAAAATGAAAACACAGAATATAATGCAAAGGGAGATCTCATAATAAACATGACAAAGTTAGTATCTCTTATTAAACAAAAGTAACTTTTGAGTGTACTATAAAACATGCAATATTCCAAACCATCTAAAAGCACTAATCTGTATTTTTAGAAAGATTTGAGAGAGAGCATGTGTGAGAGAGTGAGCTGGGGGAGGGGCAACGGGAGAGGGAGAATCACAAGCAGACTCCCCGCTGAGCGTGGAGCTCCACATGGGGGTCAATCTCACAAGTGTGAGATCATGACCTGAGCTAAAAGCAAGAGTTGGATGCTTAACCAACTGTGCCACCCAAGTGACTCATCTGAAGCCTGAGTGATACATGAACGAGGAGAAAAATTTCCTCCGAGAGCTCACAAGAAAGACACCTTTGTTTTCCCACAGAACTCCACCACTGCAGAGTTTCTCAAACACTACTAAGGTGCGGCCCCCTCGCTGCCCTTCTGAGCTCTTCTCTGTGTTCCCACCTGTCACACATTCCCACCTGTTTGGTTTTACGCTATTTGCTCTTTGCCCTCCACAGTCTAGGACTCTTTCCCTTGCTCCAAAAGGACATAATATTCAGGTCAGAAACAGAAATTCCTGCTTATAAGAAGAAAAGAACATGAACATGATGTGCTATGGCTTTTCCAGAATCCTAGCTCTTTGTTGAGCTGAGGAGAGAGGATATCACAGATGGATCTAGAACAAACGAATCACAAATTCCTCCACTGCTTGCCTCCTAAGGGCACAGGAAACAGTATAACATGCAAATTTATAGCTATCTTCCAACACTACTGAATCCAAAGCACAGGGGAAGAAAACAGGAAACTGGATATTTTAAAAGTCTGCCATATGGTTTTATACATTCTTAAACTCTAGAACCCCTGAAGAAAGGAAAGTAGAAGTCAGGATGCCACATTGTGAGGCTTTTCATTTCTGAGTCAACAGGGCTTCGATCTCAGTCAAGCAGGGCAGGGGCTCCCAGAAGACAAACAAGGGAAAATGCAAAGATACGCAAGGGCAGATCCCCACTTCTGGAGGGACGTTTTCCTCACCCAGGGAGACCAGGTTCCTGTAGTTCTCCAACATCACACCCTTGTACAATTCCCGCTGAGCAGGGTCCAGGCACTCCCACTCCTCCTGAGAGAATTCTATGGCCACATCCCTGAAGGTCAACTGTCCCTGAAATGAAAACACATTGCACCAAAAGGCCATGGGGAAATTTCTTCACACAAAATAAGAGAGAAGTAAAAGTATCAATTTGGTAAAGTGAGTATTCAACAGATCCGTGTTATGGTATTTTGAGCAACTTATGTGTTTCTAATTTTAATTTCTTATGCATTCCCCTAAGAGATTATGATACCCTCCAAATTAAGTGTGGATTTCTCATTTTTGTGGACAATACATGAAATGAAGCATACACATAAAAAGTCAATACTGCATTATCTCTACAAAGTATTAGATATTATGTTCTATATGCTGAGTGATATCAATGAGCTATCTTCAGATGACAAAATTGACAGTGGCTTTAAAGAGAGGTCAGAATCCAAAAACCGTGATGAGGATAACAACGGCAATAACTTAGAAGTTTTGTTTTTTTTTTTTTTAAGATTTTATTTATTTATTTGACAGAGAGAGCAAGCGAGCACAAGCAGGGGGAGTGGCAGGCAGAGGGAGAGGGAGAAACAGACTCCCCACTGAGCAGGGAGCCTGATGCAGGGCTTGATTCCCTGGGATCGTGACCTGAGTTGAAGGCAGACGCTCAACCAACTGAGCCACCCAGGCGCCCCTAAACATGACTATTCTTACTACTATTCTACTATTTAAATCATTAGCCTGACAGTGTAGAAAGAACTGAAGGCCATGGAATATATTTAAGATATAATTTCCATTGCTAAAAAATATGAAATTTATTACGAAATGATGTCTTTTATAGAAACTATGGACTTTCACATCCATGCACTTGTACACACACATATAAATAATACAAAGTAGCCAAAATAAGAAGAGTTTTCTCAACATAATTTTGAATGACTTTCTTCATTATTTTCATTCACATGTATTTCAGTATGTTTGGGAAAATGAAAATGTATAAACTGTACTTAATTCAGTTTGTCAATATGACTGTATAGTAGGCTAGTAAAGAGATGGTACAAACATGAAAAAAATACAGACTACTTTAACTCCAGTCTCTATAAAATACCTGAATTCAAAAATATAAACACAATTTTATCCATTTAAATGTAGGTGTGTAAGCATTAACAAAAGCCAAACAGTTTGTTTATTCCACTAATAAAGCAACAGTTCAAGATTAGAAAAGTTATCAGTGTTATACACTAACTGAACAGATTAAGATTAAAAAAACATATCACTAATAGATACCGAAAAAAAATGACAAAAAGGAAACTGGGGAAAAAACTATTATTAAGCAAGAACATTTAACCAAATGTCATGACTCAGTCAAAACACTGTATGCATTTCCTCTGAAATTATGGTGGAGGAAAGAGGCTAGCCAGGGCCCCTGCCATTCCCCATCCTACAGCATGCGTGAGCAGGGATCAGAGGAAGAGGCTAAAGGAGGAAAAAACAGTGAGAGAGTCAAAGACCTGGAACTGTTGAAATTCACAGATCTAAGGACAGAAATAGGCTAAAAATGAAAGAGAGACAAAGATATTCCATGCAAGTGGGATCCTAAAGAGAGCAGGGGGCCTATATTGTGTCAGACAAAACAGACTATGAGACAAAAACGGTCACAAGAGACAAAGGACATTATAATAAGAGGGTCAATTCACCAGGAAGATGGAACAATTAGAAACACATAGGCAAGGACGCCTGGGTGGCTCAGTTGGTTAAGCGACTGCCTTCGGCTCAGGTCATGGTCCCGGGGTCCTGGGATCGAGTCCCTCATTGGGCTCCCTGCTCTGCGGGGAGCCTGCTTCTCCCTCTCCCATTCCCCCTGCTTGTGTTCCCTCTCTCGCTGTGTCTCTCTCTGTCAAATAAATAAATAAAATCTTAAAAAAAAAAAAATGTTTAGAAACACATAGGCATGTATCATTAGAACCCTCAAATATATGAAGTAAATAACAGTAGACTTCAATACCCAGTTTCAGAAGCTCTAGAAGGAAACAGAGGACCTAAACAGCACTATTACCAAATGCACCTACCAGACAGAACACTCCACCCAACAACAGCAGAACAGTCTTCTAAAGCACACATGAAACATTCTCCATGACAGACCACATGTCATGCCACAAAACAAATCTTTTTTTTTTTAAAGATTTTATTTGACGGAGAGAGAGAGACAGCGAGAGAGGGAACACAAGCAGGGGGAGTGGGCGAGGGAGAAGTAGGCTTCCCGTTGAGCAGGGAGCCCGATGCGGGGCTCGATCCCAGGACCCTGGGATCATGACCTGAGCTGAAGGCAGATGCTTAACGACTGAGCCACCCAGGCGCCCCGCCACAAAACAAATCTTAACAAATTTAGGAAGACTGAAACCATAAGAAGCATCTTCTCTAACCATAGTGAACTGACACTAGAAACAAAGAGCAAAAAGGAACCAAATGTGTAAATTAAAACAATTCATTCTTCAGCAATGGGTCAAGGAAGAAACCACAAGGAATTTTTAAAGCATCAGATGAAAATGAAACTACCACATACCCAGATGTAGGGATGTGGTGAAAGCAGCACTGAGGAGCGTCTCTATGGTGAATATTTACAAGAGGAAAGATCACAAATCAGAAATCTTATTTTACACCTCAAGGAAGCAGAAAAATAAGAACAATCTGAACCCAATTTAGCAGAAGGAAGAAAGATTACAGCAGAGGTAAATGAAAGAGGATAAAAAATATAAAAATCGACAAACCAAGAGTTGGTTTTTTGAAAAGATTAACAAACTGACAAGCCCTTAGCTAGACCAATTTAAAAAAAAAAAAAAGAGGCGCCTGGGTGGCACAGTTATTTAAGTGTCTGACTCTTGGTTTTGGCTCAGGACCTGATCTCAGGGTGGTAAGACTGAGCCCCACATGGGGCTCCACACTCAGCGTGGAGTCTGCTTAAGAATCTCTCTCCCCCGGGACGCCTGGGTGGCTCAGTTGGTTAGGCGACTGCCTTCGGCTCAGGTCATGATCCCGGAGTCCCAGGATCGAGTCCCGCATCGGGCTCTCTGCTCAGCAGGGAGTCTGCTTCTCCCTCTGACCCTCCCCCCTCTCATGCTCTATCTCATTCTCTCTCAAATAAATAAATAAAAAGAAAAAAAAAAAATCTTAAAAAAAAAAAAAAAGAATCTCTCTCCCCCTCCTTCTACGCTCCCCTCCCCACGCTCTCTCTCTCTCTCTCTCAAATAAAGGTTAAAAAAAAAAAAAAGAAGAAATGAAAGAGGGGACATTACAACTAATGACACAGAAAGTTTTAGAAAGGACTCTAAGGGTGCCTGGGTGGCTCAGTCGGTTAAGTGTCTGCCTTCGGCTCAGGTCATGATCCTAGGGTCCTGGGATCAAGCCCCACATCGGGCTCTCTGCTCAGTGGAGAGCCTGCTTCTTTCTCTCCCTCTGCTGCTCCCCCTGCTTGTATTCTCTCTCTCTGTCAAATAAATAAATAAAAAATCTTAAAAAAAAAAAAAAAGGACTCTAAGAGGGTACTAGAAACAACTCCATGCCAACAATACATAATCTAGAAGACAAAGGTAAATTCATGGAAACATACAACCTATGAGACCTAATCACCTAATCATGAAGAAATAACAAATATGAACAGAATTATACCTACAGAGGACATGCTGGCAGGAATCAAAGATCTCCAACAAAGAAGAGTCCAGGACCAGATGGCTTCACTGAAGAATTCTACCAAACATTTACAGAAAAATTAACACATATCCTGCTAAAAGTCATCCAAAGAATTGAAGATGGAACATTGCAAACTCATTCTATAAAGTCTGCATGATTCTGATACGAACCCCAGATAAAGATACAAGAACAAAACTACAGAATATCCCTGATGAATACTGAATCAAAAATCTTTAACAAAATACTAGCAAACCAAGTTCAATAGTACATTAAAACGGGTATCCATCATAACCAAGTGGAATTTATTCCTCCAAGATAAGGATGATTCAACAATATACAAAAATCAATCAAGGCAATACACTAATAGAATGTACTAACAGAAAGAAGGAAAAAAAAACCAAAAAACCCTGAACATCTCAATTAATGCAGGAAAAGCCTTTGACAAAATTCAACAACCTTTCAGGATAAAAACACTCAACAAACCAGGAAGAGGTAAACTACCCCAACATAATCAAAGCCGTATATGAAAAGCACACTGCTAACATACTCAATGGTGAGAGACAGAAAGCTTTTCCTCTAAGATAAAGAAGAAGGCAAGGATTCACGCTCTCAGCATTACTATTCCACAGAGTACCAGAAATCCTAGCCACAGAAATTACCAAGGAAAAGAAATAAAAGCCCTCCAAATTCAAAAAGGTTGATTTCATATTTTTAAATTGATGATAAATAAAATACTTTCCATTCCATTCCCAATCCTTAAAATTTTGAGTTTTGGTTTTTTGTTTTTTAAGTAATCTCTACACCCAACGTGGGGCTCGAACTCATGACCCTGAGATCAAGAGCACATGCTCTTCCGACTGAGTCAGCCAGGCACCTCTAATCATTAAATTTTGAAGGCACTGACTCATTTGTTCAGCTTCAAATGTAGTATAATAACAGGCAGAACAGATTTCTCCATATTGGTCTCTTTTTCTATTTTTTTTTTTTTTAAGATTTTATTTATTTATTTAACAGAGAGAGACATAGCGAGAGCAGGAACATAAGCAGGGGGAGTGGGAGAGGGAGAAGCAGGCTTCCCGCGGAGCAGGGAGCCCGATGTGGGACTCGATCCCAGGACCCTGGGATCATGACCTGAGCCGAAGGCAGACGCTTAACGACTGAGCCACCCAGGCGCCCAGTCTCTTTTTCTAGAAGTTACCAGGTTTTTGTGGACATTAATATATGATTTTCATGTGCAGTTTCTTCTACCCTAGCTTACAAAGATCTAGCAGTGCATCCAGATGCGGCCCCTGAACAATCCCTGCTGCCCAACCGCACTGACACCATGGAGTCCACACCCATCTCCAATCCACACCTGGTGTGAAGCCCATCAGGATGCGCCCAATGGAGTCTCCTCACAGGTTCCACGTCACTGGGTCACGATGAGATGAAATCTAAGTGGAGATGGGACTGAGGGAAAGCCTGAGTATGAATGAACATGTGTCAAGGGTCCTTTGGAGAGTAGCAAACCCAATAGGAAGGAGAAACAGAACATCAACCAAGAATACGAGCTTACCTGAGAAAAAGCCATTCTGGACTCTTTCTTTTCTCTTCCTCCTTTTCTGAGTCTCTTCCTCTGAACATGAGTCTTTCTTAAAAGTCAACCTTGAAAGTTGAAAATATGCCGTTTAATGCTTAGAATGCTCATATCCCATCCTATGCCACCACCACAGACACAGGGGAAGTCCTCACCATGTGGGAGAGACGGCCCTCTGAGGCCCACTGCCACAGGAGGGGCTCACGGACAGTACACTCCTACTCAAACACCAACAAGTAAGTTTTGCCCCCCCTCCCTTCAGCTCACATTCCCTTGCTGGTGAAGCCCTCACAAAAACTGCAGCAGTGGGAACCTCAGCTGCACTGACCCTCCCCTTCAAATCACAGACCTGCCCCGATCAAACCCCATGCCAAGCAGAAACCCATTCACCCTCAGCCAGGTCTCAGCCCTCAGATAGGAAGGACCCAGAGCCTTGGGGCTTAATGCTGAATATAGGTCAGAAACACCCGGGCCACTTTAAATATTATCGAGGCTGCTCCCCCCACCAACTATCTGAAAGGGAATCTGTAAGGGGGGCACAAAAGATGTAATTACAAAATGTCTGAGCAATCTCACATAAAGCTGGATTGAGCACCACCCAGAAGAGGCAAGATCAACACACCTCCCACCGTTTTTTCTTTTCCAGCTTTACTGAAGTATAATTGACAAATAAAAATTGTGTATATCTAGGTATACAGTGTGATCATTCAAAATATGTATACACTGTGAAATAATTATCACACTCAACTTATATCCATCACCTCACAATTACCATTCTGTGTACGTGTGGTGAGAACACTTAAGATGTGCTCTCTAGGCAAATTTCAAGTATATAATATGGTATGATTAACTACAGTCACTATTCTTTACATTATATACCCACACTGTTCATTTTACAATTGGTAGGTTGTACCTTTGACCAACATCTCCCCAATTTTCCCCACTTCCCAGCCCCTTGTAACCACCAAACTACTCTATGGTTCCAGGAGTTTGAAGTTTTTAGGTTCTACGTATCCACAAGATCACATAATATTTGTCTTTCTCTGGCTTATTTCACTTAGCATAATGTTCTCCAGGTTCATCCAGGTTGTCGTAAATAGTAGGATTTCCTTCATTTTTATGGTCAAATAATATTTCATTGTATACAAATATATCAGATTTTCTTTACCCATTCTTCTGTCGACATTTAGGTTGTTTCCATACCTTGGCTGTTATGAATAATGAACCAATAATGCACATGGGAGTGCAGATATTGCTTTAAGATACTGATTTCATTTCCTGTGGATATAGATCCAGAAGTGTGGTTGCTGAATCAATGGTAGTTCTATTTTTAATTTTTTGAGGAACCTCCATGCTGTTTTCCAAAATGGCTACACCCATTTACATTCCTGCCAACAGTGTACAAGGGTACCCTGCTCTCCACTTCCTCACCAACACTTCTCTCTTGTCTTTTCCTGATAGCCATCCTAACAGATATGCCACCTCCCACCTGCTCTCCCCTTGGAGCCTGCTGTCACCAGGACCCAGATCTGGAAGGGGAAGGAGCAGAAGGGAACATGAAGGGCAGGCGGCAGAGGTCAGGGGGAGGCGGCCAAGAGGCTCCCTTGAGAAGGCAGTATCAGATCGAGGACCTGGGCGAAGGAGGGTATTTGCCCCCTGCATCTGAGGGGCCAGACAGTTCCAGGCAGAGGGACAGGCCCTGGGAGGGCCCTGAGGCAGGAGCAAGCCTGGGCCCAGGAAAGGGGAAGAGGACAGCATGGCTGCATTAGGGTGAGGGGGGACCAGCAGGAGAGGAGGGCAGATCAGGAAGGGTGTGGTCTTCTAAAGAATTTTAGAAACTGATTTCTTCCTGTCATTTTAAGTAAACATTTAACTTTTTCTTATCTTATTAACACTTGCAAATAATGTAATTTCTTACATATTTTATGTTCATGCCAAGATGTGTATCTAAGCCCCAGGAAGTACAAGATGGCCCTTAATCAAGAGGTACAGGACCTTCAGAAAAGGTCAAGACCATTTTTGGACAAATTAAGGGGGAGACACCTGTTAGACATCCTAGCAGAGATGCAGAGCCCAGGGCACAAGCTGGGTACAGAAGGGAAAGAGAATCAGTCTTTCAAGGAAGACGGAGCAATCAACTGAGCCACATGCTGGTGACAGGAGCGGGGAGAAGAGGAAGCCAATCACTGGACTGACCAATGGGAGGTCCCTGGACAGTCTCAGCAGCACAGTGGCTGTGAAAGCTTGACCAGATGGGGTCTGAGTGGTGACCAAAAGCAAGGTTTGAAGACAGAGAGTGTTTCGTGTACTGTGCTCTGAAAAGGAACATAAAAATGGATGGTTAACGGGCGCCTGGGTGGCTCAGTTGGTTAAGCGACTGCCTTCGGCTCAGGTCATGATCCCAGGGTCCTGCAATAGAGCCCCGCATCAGGCTCCCTGCTCTGCGGGGGGTCTGCTTCTCCCTCTGACCCTCCCCCCTCTCATGTGCTTTCTCTCTCTCTCTCATTCTGTCTCAAATAAATAAATAAAATCTTTAAAAAAAAAAAAAGGATGCTTAACAAAGGGGAAACAGTTCATTGAGAATGTTTTGTTCCACAGATGGAAGAAGAGCGAATAAAAAGGGTCTGGGACACATGTGTCTCTGCGTCTGTTTCAGACACTACCACCTGTGCTTGCTGACCAAGTAGCTTCCGAAGAGCAGAAACGTACAATGAGGTGCAGGAAGGACGCCCAAAAGACCCCACAGAGGTCCCCGTGTGGAGCGGACGCTGGGGGGCAGCTCCCGATCCACCCCCTCAGGACCAAGGCACCATCCCGCTGCAGCCAGCTCTCCCTGGGCACACAGCTCAGGCCTCGGTTCTACCAACAGCACTGGGTAACGTGTCTCTGCCGAAGCCCAGTCCCTTCGTGCCTCCTCGGCTGTCATCCCGAGTCTCCCGATAAACCCCAGCGGGCAAATCTGTCTCAGCGTCTGTGTCCCTGGGAACCCGCGCTAGGACAATGGCACCCCACACGGACCCGTGCAGCCCCACAGCTACCCATAAACCCACTTCCAGGTGCTCCTGCTAGAACCGAGACACCCCTGTCCCACGGCTGCACCCATCCCTCAACCCCACAACCATGCTTGGGACACGTGCCCATGCCGTTCACCGGGCCATCTAGAGGCCCACACTTGCTTCCACGTCGCTCCTGCAGACCCCTCCAGGCTCACTTCCATTCCCCCCATGTTCCTACCTCTCCTGCAGGCACACACGAGCAAACTGGGCTAAGGCACAGGGACCACAGCAGTAACGGAACAAGGGCAAACTCAAGGGCGCCGGGCCTTCAGTACGGACACCAAGAGGTTGGCCCTGCTGGGAACACTTGTGAGCAACCGGGGACAACACGGAGTCCAGTTTAAAAACAGTCGAAGATTG